GTATGTGGGGGGGACTTGGTGAAGGGGGGAGCCTAGTAAACATAATGTTCATCATGTAACTGTAGATTAATGATACCAAAAAAATAAAATAAAATAAAAAAATTAATGGAAAGCCCTCAGACTAACAAGCAAGACCTATGAGCTGACTCCCTGATATTTTAAGAAATTATCTTTTATTATTCTCTTATTCATTATGATCCAGTCACCTTGGGTACCACCTACAGAGACTTAGCATCTGCAGATTTCTCAACCCAAAATGCTGTTTTCCCTAAATATCTCTATGCTCATTCCCTTATCTCCTTCAAGTCCTTCCTCAAATACTGTATTCTCAGTGAGAACTTTCCTTATCACTCATTTCATCCTGTAAATTCAACTCTAGCAGTCCCTATCTTCCTTTCCTACTTTATTTTCCTTCATAGCACTTATCACCAGCTAATGTATATTTTACCTATTTATTTACCTGCCTTCCTCATGGCCCTAACCAGAAGTCCCAGAATACTTGTATCACCCAATGTATAGGTACTTGAAAAATTATTACATGACTGCATGTCAGAGTATTCATTCTACCATTCCACTCAATGAGTCTGTGATCATTTAATGTATTTGTTCAATAGCAGTAACGATTTCAGTAACTAATGATGAGCCACTGTGAGTCTGGTATTCTCAAGGCCATGCAGACCGGGGTGGAACAAGTAACTACAATGCAATCATGTCAAGTTTGGGGAAAGGGAAACCTCCCCTTGTGGAAGACTTGGTAACAAAATTGGTTAACGGTCACTGGTTAGATTACTACAGCTAGTACCTACTACACAGTAAGAAGTTTACCTCTTTAGAGAACTACCAAAACAACTGGGCCTTGGGGATTCTATCCACTCTACAGACATTCAGTGGGAGTAAATAAAAGCACCACCTTTGTGGTGATTCAAAGTAGAAAGGAGTTCTTAAGACCTGTAGCCATCCACAATGGACTTGTGAAATTTAAACACTACTACTCCCTCTATATTTTATAAATATACGTGGCTCAGGATATTTGCTTCAGTTTCAATATCTAAGAAACCACTGTGATCAATCAATGGCATCAAGGCTATGTATGAATCTACAGCAATTATTATTTTTTTAATTGGTGTAACTTACATACCATATAATCCCATTTTAAACTACATTTCAGTGTTTTTTAATTATAGTAAAATACACATAAATTTACCAGTTTAACCATTTTTAGGCATACAGTTGAAGGATATGTGTGTCATGAATGGTTTTTAATATATTCACAACCACCACCACCATCTAATTCCAGAATATTTTCATCACCCCAAAAAAGGAACCTCTGCCTCTTCAGCAGTCACTCCCCATTCTCTCTTCCCCTCGTACTTCAGCAACCATAAATCTGTTTTCTGCCTCTATGGATTTGCCTATTCTGGATATTTCACATGAATGGAATCACAAAATATGCAGACCTTTGTGTCTGGCTTCTTTCACTTAGCATAATATTTTCCAGGTTCATCTGTGATGTAGGATCTATCAGTATTTCATTCCTTTTTATGGCTGAATAATAAGTCATTTCATAGATAGATCACATTTTCTTTAGCAATTTATCAGTTGATGGACATTTATAGGGTATCTACAATTTTCCACTATTGAAATTAGGCAAAAGCTAATTCTGTGCTAATGAGTAAATATTTTCTAGAATAGTAACCATGAAAGAGTATTTGTATTGAAAATCTGATATGATACTGCAAATGGGATATAAATGCTTACAACACTCATGAACAGTAAGACAGGACCCATTTCCCTATACCTTCGTATTACAGAATTAAAAAATTTTTCTAAGCTGAGAGAAAAAAAACAACCCTTATTTTGATTTCTTGATAACTAGTGAGCTTATTTTTACACTTATTGGCAATTTATTTTACTTTATGTTGAATTTCTTTGCTTATTTTCTATTAATTTGTTTATAATTTTTACTGACTTGCATAAGACACTGGTTATTTTAGCAATTTTAAGACATGCACATGTTATTTGTGCTGAAAATATTTTCTCCCACCTGTCACTCATTTTTAACTACCATTATATTTAGATATTTAGCTGGATTGCTATGCAACCTATTTCCTATTTTTCTTTTTATGGTTATCCAGTATCCTGTTCTGCTTAGAAAGGACTTTCCCTTTCCTAACATCTAAAAAAAATCCTACTTTTTTCTATTATTTTCAAAGTTACATATTTTTCACTCAGCCTTTAACACCTAGACTTAATTTATGTATAGTATGTTTGATAAAGCTCTAATCAGTTTTAAAAATTAATAACCATTTTAAATTCAATTTGAGTAATTTATATCCCATACATAAACTTCCTTCTTTATAATAAATGTTCACAAACATTTAGATCTGTCTTATTTTCTCCATTCTTCTTCTCTGACACCATATTACCAGCAGCTTTAAAGCAAACTTTAATTTCTAGTACATAAATGTCTTACTCATGATTCTGCATTTTAAGTTATCTTCTTGGGTTTTCTGGCACATTTATTCTTCCAATGAACTTCAGAACCAACTTCTAAACATACCTGTCAAGTCTTTGTTGGAATTGTATCAAATTTATACCTTGCTCTGAAAAGGACTGACCCATTAATAATGATACTAACTTCATTTCTAAAACATAATATGCTTCCCCCAATTCATTCAGGCCTTGTTTTTCTGTCCTTCCATAAAATACTATCATTGTATCTTAATAAATGGAGTATAATCTGTTTTCCTTTACTTCCGTGTGTGCCTCTTTCTCATATCTACATAAATAAAAGTTTTTCCAACAATATTTGAGTAAAAAAAGATTATTTTCTCATATCCTATTATATAATGATAGGACCATCAGGTAATCTTTAAAAATTATTTCAATTAAAAAATTACATGACTTTCTGTAAACACTCCAAAAAACAACAATCTATAAAAACCATCTCAATGTTAAATATATTCATGTATAAAAAACTGGAAGTATATATAACAAGGATGGTCAACTGATTTAATCTTGCATACTAACTCTAATCTATCAGAAATGGCTGCCAAAAGTGATAAACTGAGAACATTTACACTGAAGAGAAAAGGATACCATTACAAGTTATTGATTTCTATTCCAAGGGAGGGAATGGAAAATGGTGACACAAGTGCCATCTATTTGTCATATGTGAGATTAACCAAACTATTGACAATGTTATTTCTAGAAGGAGAATTATGGCAAGGCTTTCATTTTTTTTTTAAACAAAGTGTCTGCATTTTTGTAAAGCAAGTATTACCTTAGAAATAAGCAAAAAATTTTTTTAATTTGTAAAAATTGCTGCAACTTTTTAATGAATACTTAACAGTGATATATTTTTATTTCATCATATCTCATAAACTTATACTTTTCTTAAGAATTTTTCCAAAAGAAATTTCTTACTATCAGATTTTAAAAGACACATAAAAAAAGAACTTGTCTGGGCAAAGTAATCTTTAAACTTTATTTCCAATAATCATACCATAATACTATATTATCATTTTTCTGAAGTCATCAGGAAAGCATGAAAAGAAACTGTAAGAAATTATACAGGAAAAGTGGTTTCAGCACTTTTAACACTTACAATTCAATTTCAACCATGCCTTTGGAACATCCTCTCTTCACAAAAAAGCCAACCTATGACAAAAAAGACAAAGTGAGCTGGGTAACAATCACAGATTTAGCAAAGTCATTACCTGTCAGATCAAGAGTCTTTCAGTAACTACTTTGTATGTCCATTTCCATTCACTTTCTGAAAGTACCCTTCCCAGATTTGGGCCCCTTCATTGCTTCTACCCACAAGTAACAATAGCAACATTAGTTATCATTCACTGTACCTTCTACATGGCAAATAGCTGCTATCTTTTACAAAGTTTGTGATAAGGCCCGTAACTGGTGTAACAGCAAGATTGGAACCCAGATAATCTGGCTTCAGAGCCAGTGTACTTAGCCACTATACCAAACATACTCAGAGAAGAGAAAAATTCATTGGAAAAATAGGTCCTATATGATCAAGAGCTCCACCAAATCTCCTTATTACCACTGGAGACTTAAAACATTAAATATTTATAGATTAAATAATAACAACCATTTTAATATTACCCAACATGTTATTAATCAGGAAATAATTGTTACCAAGCATTTTTTAAAAAAGAACAATATGCATAGTAAATTCATTTTAAACAAGTATAATTTAGATTGTAAAACAGATATATTTTAGCTAGTTTCTATATGTGTACAAGCATAAACATGAAAACATACCCTGGGCCTAAAAAAATCAGACCGGATTTTAAATCAGGCTATAAGTGGTAATACTAAAACAAGTGGATAATACACACCTTGCAAATATTATTTTTTTAATAGTGGTTAATGGCAGTGATAATAATTAAAATCACAACAGCTAATATTTATTAAGTATTACTATATGCTATTGTGCTAAGTACTTTATATACTATTTTCTCTTAACACTCATGAGCAACCTTATGAGGTATGTCATGCCCATTTTATAGATGATGAACCTGAGGCCCAAAGAGATGGAAAAGCCCATTATTATAACTAAAATGCACTTGATGATTAAGATTATGATTAATGATTAAGAGTACAGGCTTTAACATATACCATCTAGGTTCAAATCTTGACCCTGCCATATACAACTTGTTTGACCTTGACCAGGCTACTTAACCTCTGTTTTAGTTTCTTCATATACAGAGAACAATGTTATTTTTCTAGGAGTGCTATCTATTCATTAGGCTGCAACAATTAAAACACTTGGTACCATTAAAAAGAAAAAGTCAGGAGGCAGGTCTTATTAGAAAGTATATATGGATAGTACTGAACATTCTCCAATTAAATTTTTATATTAGCATTTAAATACAAATACAACATGAAAAATATTTTTGTTGAGAACTTGGTCAGCCCCTACATACATCTGTAGCTCTCCAAAGGTCTACAATCTGTCATCTGATAAACACTGTACTCCATAGCATCCTTAAAAAAATTTACCATTCAAGAACAGATGTATCTTCTTTATGACAAAAGTAAATGGGAAGGTTAGTCACAGCCTAATATATTCTGACTACATAGCCCTAGAGTAAAATCCAGCAGTGCATTACAGAGACAAAGCTTTAATAAATTCTAACACTGAGAAAACTATACATCAGTATTTATAAAAATCTGAGTTGATCCTTGGAAATTATCTACTCCAACCTTCTTATCTTTGAACTAAAGAAAAACTGAGGTCCAGACAAATGACTAACATCACAAGGTTAATTATTAATACGGCAGTCTCTTTTCTACTTCATAAATGCCTCCCATACAGCATTAAAAAAATGCATACATACATATTTTTGAATAGGTTTATCTGAATTCCCAAGGGGTACATGCTTCAATATTATAACCCTACATTGTTTTAAGCCCAGCTAAGAAGCTAATATCATTTTGATAATACCCACAATCATTTTAGAAAAATATAAACAAATATTTCAAATTTTAAAGATATCTTACAGTGGGGTAACAACTCAACTCTCAGATTTTCTTTCAGAATCATGATTTTATGTGAAATACATAACAAACTATACATAAGTGTTATGTACTTCTAAGAATTAAAATGACTGTGTATCTACCACCAATTTAAGAAACTGAATATTATCACTGTACCTGATATCCCTTGTGTTTCCTTACCATAATTGCATCCTTCTCTCAACAAATGTAATCTTGATTCTAACCAGAAGGTGGCAAGAAGGAAGGTCAAGATAGCGGTGTAGAAAAAGCCTGAGCCCACTTACTCCCAGTACACACTGAATGTACACCTACACACAGAGCAATTCATCCTGATGAAGAACTGAGGCCTAACTGAACACCTTCTGCACAATGAGGAATAAAAACAACACATAAAAAACAGCAGAAGGGACAGAGACCCAGTAATAAAAGGAGCTCCACTGCTAGCATGGCCCTGCAGTCGGGGAGATACCAGTGAGCTACCACAGCGCAGACTTGCCTGCCTTGGGGCACAGAAGAAAAGCCACGAGTCAGAGAGTGGACCATGACTGTGGTTAAGGAAGCTGATGTTAGAACCCAAGCACCCACCAAATGGCAGGGGAACTGCTTGAACTCTCCAAGACCAGAGGTGCTGGTGAGGGCCACTGGGTGTCCACTCCCTCACCCTGACCCCACCTTGCCCTGACACTGTTAGTGTGGATAGGAGCAGATGAACACCATTGTTTATATCCCTCCCCACCCGCTGCTGGCACTGTTAGTAGGGAAGGAGGCAAGGTGAGCACTACTGTTTACACTTCTCCTGGGGCACGGATAGCACAGTCAGGAACAGGTGAGAGCCTCTGTTTACTTTCCCCACTGATGATGACAGCATGGACAGCAGCAGTGTCAGGGTGAACAGGCAAACTCTGGATGTGATGGAGGAAGCTCCCCAGCACCCCTCACACACAAACATGCCTGTCAGTGTTCCAGTTATCCTATCAAGGCAGCACTAGCATACACTCATGCACATTCATCCTGCCTGTTCCTCTTTTGCCCACAGCCACCTGGTTTGCACACCCCAGCCTGGTGCCACTCTGGGAGACCCCTGGACTACACCTTACCACTCCCAGGAGCCCCATTAGCATGGCCCTGGCTGTTGCCCTCCTGGAAGAACACTGGATCACGCCCCTTTGCCGCAAGTCACACCAGCAAGGCCTTGGCTGTTGCCTACCCAGCAGCTACCCAGACCATGCCCTTTCAACAGTAGCCATCCCACCAGTGTGGACCTAGCTGGCAACCCAGCCCACACCCGGGGAGCCTGGCACTAGATCACCCTGGCCCACACCCAGCCAGCCAATCAAACCTCCAGGCATACATAGTCTACCAGGGCAATGCTTTCAAGACTACAAGAGGTAGCCCTTTCACCTAACCTACAGAAACAAACACAGAAAGTCAAGCAAAATGAGGAGATAAAGAAATATGCTCGAACGAAAGACAGTGACAGAACCTCGGATAAAGAACTAAATGAAACAGAGTTAAGAAATTTACCTGACAAAGTTAAATCAATGGCTAAAAGATACTCACCAGATTTGAGAGATGAGTGAATTGAGTGAGAACCACCAGAAAATAAAAAATATGAATAAGAAACAATGAGAGATTAATACAAAATATGAAATGAAAAATATGCCAGAGAGAATTAACGTATTAGAGGATGCAAAAAAAAAATGGATCGGCAATTTGGAAGACAGAGTCATGGAAGAAACTTAAGATGAAGAGCAGAAAGAAAAAGAATAAGAAGAAATGAAGAGCTCTTTTTGCCACATCTACTGTGAGAATGAAGACCATTCTCAACAGACTGTGACATTTGTAGTTACTGTGAAGTGCCCCATAGGTACCCTGCAGAGAGACTTCACTCACATCAATGTAGAGTTCAATATCCTTGCAAAGAAAAAGAGGCTTCAGGGTGACAGATGGTGGGAAAACAGGGACTAGCTGCCATTCGTACTATCTGTAGTCACAAACAGAACAGGACCAGGGCGTTACACTGGACTTCCATTAAAGGATGAGGTCTGTGTACACTCACTTCTCTATCAACGTCATTATTCAGGAGAACGGTTCTCTTGTTGAAATCTGAAATTTTTTGGGTGAAAAATACACCTGCAGGGTTTGGATGAGACCACACATTACTTGTTCAGTATCTCAAGCCCAGAAAGATGAGTTGATTATTGAAGAAAATGACACTGACCTTGTATCAAATTCAGCTCCTTTGATTTAGCAAGTCACGGCAGTTAAAAATATGGATTTCAGAAAATTTTTGGATGGTATCTCTTTCTGAAAAAGCAACAATTCAGCAGGCTGTTGAATAAGATCTAAATTGTGCAGCTACAGAAACAACAAGATGCTGGATGATTCCTTAGACTTATTGTGGTATTTTAAAAATGCAATAACTGCCTTATTAAGGGAAAAAAAATGAAGATAAGTTAAGGGGCCTTTAGGACACCATCAAATGTCCTAACATTTGCATTACAGGAGTCCCAGAAAAGGAGGAGTGAGAGAAAGGGGTGGAAAACTTATCTAAAGAAATAATAGCTGAAAACTTACCTAACATAGGGAAGGAAACAGACATCTAGATCTAGCAATCAGTGAGCCCCAAATATGATGAACCAAAGGTCCACATGAAGACACGTGACAATAAAAATGTCAAAGGTCAAAGACAAAGAGAATCTTAAAAGCAACAAGATAAGGGCAATGAGCTACCTACAAGGGAAACCCCATAAGGCTACCAGCTAACTTTTCAGCAGAAACTGTACAGGCCAGAAGGAAGTGGCATGATACACTCTAAATGCTGAAAGAGAAAACATCTACCACCAAGAATACTATACACAGCAAAGTTATCACTCAGAATTGAAAGGGAGATAAAGAGCTCCTCTGATAAATACAGGCTGAAGGAGTTTACCACAACTAAACCACCTTTACAGGAAATGTTAAAGGAACTTCTTTAAGAGGAAAAAGGCCCTATCTAGAAGTAAGAAAATTATAAAAAGAAGAAATTTCATGGGTAAAAGCAGATAGCAAAGGTAGACCAATCATTTAAAAGCTACTATGAGGTTAAAAGACAAAAGTAGTAAAATCAACTACTTCTAAAAATCAGTTAAGGGAAT